GCTGAGATCCTTTGTAAACAGATTTTCTTGAAAGGCCAGTCCTGATACTGAATTTGAGCATTTAATGAATGAGTTACTGAACTAATTTAATGAATCTTCAATAGGTACTGTATGTTTTCACTTACTGTACATAAAAATCATTAAGGATCATTTAAATTTTAGCATCCTTAACATTCTTTACTGTTTACTTTTAGAGACTGCAGTTGCTTTTATTGAATCCACTAAAGGAACTGTCAAACATTAGTCATCCTGATATCAGGATCAAGCAGTTGGAGTGTGTGCTACAGATTTTGCAAAGTCAGGGTGACAGCTTAGGACCTGGTTGGCCATTGGTGCTTGGAGTCATGGGGGCAATCCGAAGTGATCAGGGGTAAGTAGTGGAAATAAAATTTTTAAATCATGTAAGATAAGAACAGTAGAAATAATTCTGGTTTTATAACCACTTTGTTAATAACCATAATTTTTATTGTCACTTTTAATTTATGAACAATTTCTCTCACTAAAAACACAGTTGTTGGGTTTTTTTCCTGTATCACCTTTTATTTACTGAATTAATCTTTCAGAAGACCAGATAATTGTTCCACTTTACCCTCTCCTGTGGTCAGCATGCAGTATACACTGAAGAGGTTCTTGTGCTAGATCATCTGGTCTTAACCACCTACTGGACACATCTCTGGTGCTTGCAGATAATTCTGTATGACTTAGTTGTTGCTCACAGTTCCTTCATCGTTTCTTTTTCTTCTTAAATCATTGGATAGTTTCTAATGTGTCATCTTCTAAATGCTCTCTTTTTTGTTGAAACCTTCCTTCCTAAATGGCTGCTGGTGGCTCAAGGATGGACGATGATGATGGGTGAATCACTTGACTAACACAGCTGTCTATTGCCAGCAGTTACTGGACTGCTCCTCTTCCCCGCAAGGGGAAGTGAGAGGTGAAGTTGCAAGGAGTTTGTTTGTTTTTTTTTAAATGAGCAGTGAAGCTAACATCTGGCCTGGAACTGTAGGCACCAAGACTTATACCCATACACTTAGATCATATTCTTCCTTCTTTGTAAGTCTTGACTAGCACTAGGGTAGCTCAGCAAAAATAACTCTGGCATCAAAAGAATTTACCTTAGAGTGTCTCTTATTTTGCCTTGTCTTCTGTCTTCTAACCATATGAAGACCTCCTAAAGCTCCTTCATATGCTTGAACGATTTTGCTCTTGTACTGGTATTGCTTGCCCCGGCAGTGATACTCACCAAAATTTCCAAGAATATTGGCATTCTTGGCTGTGAGCATCCTCTTTTTGGCAACCAGGCTTCCTTTGATACCTGCTGTTTCCACACTTGGCACAATGTGTTCTGTGGTTCCTTTTGATGTTCACTGTAGTTGTTGATGGATGAGTATCAACACAAATTCCTTCTCAAGACAGTCTTCACATCCTTTTACATCTCAAACCCCTACCTCACTGGCAGATATCTCAAGACATTACTAAGATCTTTTGCGGTATCTTAGTCTCCTCCTACTAAACATAGAGAGCACTGTTTGCCCACATCATACCAGCTACAGTAGGAAAAAAAAAACGAAGCAAGTCTCCTTTTCCTAGGGAAGCAACTGAATTTCTTGCCTTATTAAAGCTGTGAGCGCAAGGTGTGCGCACTATTATCATACTTTAAATATAAACTTATTGACTATTAGACTTTCTTCACAAGTGTTCCTCTCCCTGGCCAGTGAACATCCTGGATTCCAGGGCAAAAATCCATTTACATTCCAGGAAAACTTATTGCTAGGCTGCTTTAAGTACAAAAGGTGGTATATTGAGAGCCAGTGATGCCACGGTCACTTCTTGATTGTACAATATCAGCCTGCCAAGCAAAATGAAACCTTTCTTCAAAGAATTTTTCAATGGCCTGTCCCTGTTTGCTTTAAAAATAGATTAAGCCCAATAGAATCTTAAATTTTCAAGCTAAGTTTAAGTTTCTTGCATTTATATTTACCTTTTTGATGGCCACCTGCAACATTAAGGACAGCTTTATATTTTGAAGAGCTGTATTGCTGTTGCCACTTGCATGAAGGAGTTTGAAACCTTTCTCCAAAGACCTAGTGGTGCGGGACATTAATTGGGAGATGAACTGTATTTAATTTGTTCTAGTGGCCTTGCATTTGAAGATCAGGAAGAGGTTGCTTTCCTATTAACTCAGTTCTTCAAAAGGAGTAGTGAATTTGTACTTTCATTTCCTGCCTCCTTCCCTTCTCTTCTAGTGTCCTTGAAGGTTACATACCTCTGGAACTTTGTAATGGAAAGGGAACTGCCACAGTTTTAGGTGTCTCACTTTATAGACTCCTGTAATAAGTATGGGGGAAAGTAGTGTGTGAGTAAATTAGTAGTACTAATATACTGTCCATGGTAAGTTTCTTGCACATTCCTCTGTCTTCCATATCATGTTGGCTGTTACAGTACAGTGGAAATGGTCCACCTGTAATTCTGATTTTTAATTATCTGAAAAATTATTATTTTATTTAGGATTCTGAAATACGTAACTAGCACATGTATTCTGATTTTTTTCCTGGGATCTGTATTCTGAAGGACAAAAGTTTCTCTATTACTAACCCTTGAGATTTTTGGTACATTAAACTTATAAAAAAAAACAAACAACCCTGTAGTGAAATTTAAATGCAGGGTCCATATTCTGTTGTATCTACACTCTATAAATGCTTTTGCTTCTTTCATTTTGTCTCGCACTAAACTAGGTTTTACTTATAGATGACCATTCTGCTTCTGAGAGCCTTTTCTCACAAACCTTTTCTATATTACATTTTTGTTTTGTCTTTGTATTCAGAATATAATTCAAAAGGCAAAGTATTTATTAAAGATCAAGTTAGTGGCAGATATTTTGGAAAAGTTTTGTTTAACATAATATAGTATTGAAGCAAGTAAGACTGCCATGATGCTAGCATGTATCTTCCCTAATAAATAAAAATACATTTTGCCCACCAGTTTGGTGTACTTTAAGTAATTTCTAACTGCTGATAGAAAAAATTGTTCAGAACAGCTTACTCTTTGGAAGATTATCATGCTCAAACGTAAGCTTTGGTTTTTGCCTTGTGGCTTTTTTGGAAGGTTTTAGCTGACACGTTTGAACTAACAAGTCCTAGAACTCCAGAACAGAGAAGTGGGCTTTACTATTTAAAACCATCTGAGGGCCATCGGAGAGTCCAAACTTCACCTTCACTAGCTGATTAACATGGACTAAAATACTTCATCAGAGTCTGAAGCTTCAACTTAATGTTATGTCTCAAAAAAAAACCTTGGTTGAAACATTTAAAATACTGCAGATTTATCTCAAAAACATTTTTTTTAAATAATGCTACACAGGTGTTGTATTCAAAACACATGCACTTGAAAAAATTTGCAATGAGTGTGTGTGTATGTTTTGGTTTTGTGTGTTGTTTTGTTTTTTTTTTAAGAGAGTCCTTAATACGGACTGCATTCCAGTGTCTTCAGTTGGTTGTGACAGACTTTCTTCCAACGATGCCATGTACTTGTCTACAGATAGTTGTTGAAGTTGCAGGAAGCTTTGGACTTCACAATCAAGAGCTAAATATTAGCTTAACTTCAATTGGTTTGTTGGTAAGTTTTATAATAATGTGCAGTGATGCTGCTTCTGGCTTTCTTTTCTTTTTTTCTTGTTGTTTTTTCTTTTTTAAAAATAAACATCTGTAGTCAGTTCTAAAAATGAAAGCTAAAGCCTATTTTTTGAGTTCTTACTGAGCTCCCATTCTGTAACTTGCAATCATGTGTAACCTGAGTTAGCACAATTTATCTTTAATCTGCATAACTCAAGGGTTAGGTAAAGAAGTAGTACTGTATTGTAACCATGTTCAATACCTTATGTTTAATGCACTGTTTCGCCTTCTGGTGCTTCATGTATAAATGGGGCCTGAAAGCTGAGGCTAAGAAAAATGCTTTCTGCACCTTGCAATATTTGTGTGCCGATCTTCTTCCAT